AAAAGATTCAAAAAGTATATAGAGTAGGCATATTTAAAATTTCACTTGTAACAATTTTCACAAAATCATCACTAACTCTATCTATCCCCGGACATATCGGCGAAGAGATTCAAAGATATGTGTGAAGTCAACTAACCTGCACTTGGCCAGCGTGGTTGACTATGGCCTAGTCATCCTAACTTAGAGTAGGCTCCAAGCCTTTCAGTGGAGACGTATCGTGAGCTGGTGATGATGATGATGATGGAATTGCTTTAACTTACACCGGTGGAGGTAGACCTAGAATGAGAGATGGATTGCGTGAAAGGTGACATGATCAAAAAGGGAGTGATGATTGAGATGACGTATGATAGAGTTATTTGGAGGACAAAAACCTGTTGTGCCGACCGTACGGGAGTAGGATAATTATAATGATGATGATGATGGTGATGATGATGATGATGATGATGATGATGTAATTGCTTTAATTTAAGCAATTAAGAATTCAATGTATGTTATTATAGGGTAGCGATTTGTTATTGATTCAATACATAAAGATATTTATTTACATTTATGTTTACATTTTAAGTTTCCGCAGTACTTCAAAACAGTCGGTTAATTGTTTATTATGTTTGAATTATAATAATTTTATACAATGAATGGAATGGTTTTCATTTAAATATTTACTTACGACTACGTTTGCATTAATTTAAAATATCTGAATTATTTTATTTATATGCGATAAATACTAATATTATAAAGACGAAAGATTTGTATTTTTGTATGTATTGAAATTACTCAAAAACTACTAGGCCGATTTTAAAAATTTCTTTCACTGTTAGAAAGATAATTTATCTGCGAGTAACATATGTATTATTTTTTAATTTCACGGGGACGAAGTCGCGAGTAATGGCTAGTATGCGATATAATTGAATCATTTTGTAACCAAACAGACTATCCCACAGCTTTACATTTTTTTATGACAAAAGATAGGTTAAACTTCACTTTGTGACTTTCTAATTAGAATATTATTTAAATATTTGATTCATCAATTTTCCTCGTTTTTTTCCTTCTTTAAACTCACACCTAAGCTTTGATAAAAGTCGATGTTCGTGGAATCACATTTATTAGGTCAAACATACGTCAAAGTATAAAAGTCGGTAAATCATTAAATCTACGGATGATATGAGGCATAATTTATTGCTCGCTCGGACGATGAACTGTCTCGGCCTAATATTCATGGGTACTAAACATTTATTATTTAGATTGGCCTGATTCAGCGAATGTTAATTGCCTACGTGTCAGCATCAGTGTAAAATTGGGGCAATTGTGGTAGACAGGCTCCCGTTCACGGCTTGCGGTGTCACGTGACATACGGTCGAAGAATGTAGAATTGTATTAATATAACCTATAATGTACTAAATTTACTAACGTAATTAATTGTCTATATCTATGCTACTATAATAAAGCGTATCGTATTACTTCGTGGCGTAAGATGTCAGCAATCATAGTATGTTTTTGAATAATTCTTTCATTAATATTAATAATTAATAAAAAGCCCTTCAGTTACGACACGCTTTAGGACATATTTTCACGTTAAACTTAGGGAGTAAATAATTTTGGAAAAAAACCGTCATTCGGGAAAGGGAAAAACTACAAGCTGACAACATCAAGGGAACAAGACTGCTATGTTACGGCAATTGGTATCTAATGCGAAAGGCCTTCGTTATCATTTATGCATTTAAATTTTGACATTTGCAACTGAAACTTCCACAAATGCAATGAATGAAATAAGGTTTTTATAATTTCATGAAGATGAAGTCCCACGGGAACAGCTCATATTATAATAAAATGTAGTATGCCAACGGTTTCTGCAACAAGTTGGTAGCATATGTGTTGATTAAATTCAAAAGATAGAGAAGTACATATTTCCCTTCAACTCATTTCTTTATAAGAAAATCGTAAGAACGGAAATTAGGAAATTAATTACGTGTGGCTAATAAATTTATTGAGGTAGAGGTAACATAACCTACAAAATTAGCTAACGAATGTGCCAAAGGTGTAGATAAATCGCTTAAATTAGCAATTACTGGAGGGGAATGAATCTCGAATTGCTGAACATTTACGGGAACGTTTGACCTTAATTAGCTGAAAACATTTTTACCGTGAGATTCAACTGGCGTACTCTTTGAGAACACGTTTTAGTACCTTTTTGTATAGACATTTCATCAGTAAAAATGCACGTTTATAACGCAATGTTCTAAATTAAAAATAAACTAGCTTTCGCTCGCGACTCCTGCATCATCATCATCTCCCTCCTTATCCTACTCCCGTAGGGTCGGCGAAGCAGGTTTTTGTCCTCCAGATAAATCTATAATACTCCCTCTTTGATCATGTCACCTTTCACGCAATCCATCTATCTCTTTCTTCACTCGCGACTCATGCGAGGATTTAAAAAAACAAAAGTAAGTATGTGTTCTTCCAGACTATCCTCGACATCTGTGCCAAATTTCATCGAGATCCGTTTAGTAGTTTAGACTACAAACTCTAGCGATCATCTATCCATCTAAATGGGGAAGGGATTAGCTCCTGCATCACAAGGAAACCTAGTGCAGAAGTTTGGGCTGCCATGAAATGTAATGTAATTTGTGTTTAAATTTACCTGATTCGTAAAGAATAATATTTAAACGTATGTATTTTGCAAAGCTAATATTTCATAATCAACATTTATCATGTATCAGTTTAATGATTCAGATGGACCATTAATTAGCCATCTCTTGCCAACTCTGACATCTGTTTGTGTCAGATATTTATAGCTCGTCTGCTATGAGCATATGAGAATTCAAACTACATTGCTGATAATTTAGCGCTTCTAAAATTAATATCTAGTGATTATTAATGTAGATTTAGGTCACATTTCTAAAACCTGTATAGCAGAAGATTAGACAGGCGTCTAGAAGTAATTCCGCGTTTCTAATTTTGGTACTTATCAATTTTATTATGTAAATTAATTTTACACCCTTTTAGAACGAGAATGGGAAGCAGATTTAAGAGTAAACGCATAGGTAAGGGAAATTTCATCTTTTAATGCGTCCCCCTTTCTGTCAATTAAACATATTATTAGCAACGCATCTGCAAATACGGATGTCTATGGACAGCTGTCATCTTTCTATTTTGGCGAATTATGATGTTCATTTATAACCTTGTAACTATAAAAAAAAAAACCTTCATTTGGTAAAATTTATGTAAATCGATTAGAATTACGATAATTCTAATTGTCAATAAAATTCTTCTTGATGTAATTTACATAAGTAAATAAATATTGAATACGAGCTGTTGCCCGCGACTTCGTCCGCGTGGTATTAGAAAACATACGAACTATATAAATTACAAAAAGCTACGTATCCCTCGGGAACCGGACATTTCTCTGGGATGAAGCTTATCTCATGTGTACTCCAGACTTTGTTTTATATCTGTGCCAAATTTCAGTAAGATATGTTGAATCGTTGCAGAATGATTGAGTGAACATTAAAAAATTAAATTAATGAATCCAACGGGAGCCGTAACTATTCCCGGGATAAAAAGTAGCCTATATGTTCTTCGAGACTATGCTCTAAACCTATGCCAAATTTCA